GGGGGGGGGGGGGGGGGTCACCTCCATATTAATGCCCATGGTTTTGGAATGGGATGACCAAAAAACTCATATAGGTATGATGATTGGTTGTTCACAAACCTTTGGTCACCTTGATGTATTTTGAGGGACATTTGCTTGAGGTGTTTTCAGTATTTCACTGATAGGTGCTCTTTAAAACACTCACCCCATTTCACTGTGAGAGTCTCCTCCAGACTGCTGTGCTCTACATGACAGGCGTAAGTGTCACCATCCTTTGTTGGCACTTCCACACTGACTCTGATCTGATAGGTGCCGTCAGGATGGGGGAGAATCGGAGTGCCTTCACCTGAGAGGACATGGTCTACCCCATTCTTCACCCACTTCACATCCACAGCTCGGGGGTGAAACCCGTACACCAGGCACTGAAGTCTTGTAGTTTCATCCTGACCCTGACTCCTGATCTTCACCTTTGGAGCAACTGAAAGGTAAAAGGATAATTTACATATAACGGATTTAAGTTGATAAGCCATGTGGTATAATTGACAGGTTAGTTTATGTCACTGGCAGCTAAATATTTGCCATAAATAAATATGTTAAGACATAAGGAGCTTATCAGAACAGTATAGGCTTGTGGGCAAATTAACAAAAATGTACTTGCCATTCACCTGTGTATTGCTTTAATAACCGTGGAATTGTTTTTAGTTTAGTTAAAGGATATCCTTTAACCACCCCCTCCCCAAGCATCTGTCCAAAGACATACAGTAGAACTCTCCTCTCCTCTAAGACGTTCACTTTGTGACCCAGTCAGAGCCAAACAGCTGTTACTTCAGAAGTATCCTGACTGGGCTCTTGGTCAATGACAGGTCAAGCCTGGAAGAAGAAAAGCCCAGCCAGAAGACTTCTGACATGGCAGCTGTGAACTCGCCCTTTAAGTACATAATTGAATGTAATGCATCATTAAAATGGTAAATGCACTTGTACAGCACTTTTCCCTAGTGTGCCCAGCTGGTCCTGCAGAGCCTATGCCAACCTGATCCTGTTCTGGCAAGATCAGCCCGCTTATCAGAACACAGTTGACATTCATTTCAATGAAAAGTCTGTAAACGGGGGACTACTCTTTGGACTACTAGTGAAATCACTGCCCTGATGATCTTCCCAGGGCTTCCAGGTACATGGAAACCCAATCACTAAAAACTTTATTATCAGCAGCATCAGCAATAAACTTTTTACTGTAAACTCCATAACAAGGACTAGAGGTCACAACCTAAAATTGGTGGAGACAAGATTTAAGCACAAGGGGCATAGGGGCTTCTTCTCAGTTAGAGCGGTTAGGGTCTGGAACTCACTGCCACAAGCAGTGGTATCAGCTGAGAGAGTTGAATCATTCAAAAAGCATTTGGACAATTTCCTCAGAGACGGTAACATTCAGGGGTACAGGTACCCTTAAAAACAAGATCGCACAGGGACTCACTAATACACACTCATACACATGCAGAATCCCATACAGACACGCAATGGGTTGAACTTGATGGACCTGTGTCTTTACTCAGCCTCAAATACTATGTAACTATCTTATTGTCATTTCAAAAGTTGTAATGATATTACTTGATAGTCTTTGTTAGGCACTTCCTGTTATAGGGTGACAGTACTCAGCCGCTGTCCTTCAATTCTGCTCCTGTGTTGTCACCCAGTCACACAGGCTTATGATCATGACTACAGGTGGATGTTTTAAGATGCATTGTGCAGACATGGCCCACTGTTGACATCATCAGGTACCCACCCTGAGAAATGCCATGCAACCATTGCTGGAGGAGACAGGAAGATGATGGAAAAGATCAGTAGCGCTGAGATGCAACAATAGATAAAAAAAAAATATTCTATATTTGAAAAATGTAATTTTTTATGATGAATGCTTTTGAAATCAAAATATCTTCTAGTTATGGATTATTTCTACTTTAGGTTCACCTATATACACCACCTCCACCAAGGAGCGTAGAGAGAGAGCTTTCCCACTGTAATTATTTTTGGTGCGTGGCAACTGACTATAAAGGCAAATATCAGGAAGGAATTTTATAAGCTGAGCTGAAGAGACATTTTATAACCTTTGAAATAATCTACAGTATAAGTGAAAGTTGTGTTTCATGTATTGCAGCACTGGGGGTCCCTGGTTCGAATCCCGGCCAGGTCACTATCTGCAAGGAGTTTGCATGTTCTCCCTGTGCTTGTGTGGGTTTCCTCCGGGTACTCCGGTTTCCTCCCACACTCCAAAGACATGCTGGTAGGTTAATTGGCTCCTGTCTAAATTGGCCCTCATCTGCATGTGATATAGGGACCTTAGATTGTAAGATCCTTGCAGGCAGGGACTATGTAAAGCGCTGTGTAAAATTGTCGGCGCTATATAACTACTTGTAATAAATAAATAAATATTGGGCTGACATTGTTCCTTGGTCCTCTTGATACCCAGATGTTTGTGTCGCATTGTGGAATCTCAGCCTGTTACAGACTTTATTCTCACCTCTCTTCTCCAGCTCTTTTCTCCCATAAGCCATGTACTTCTTGAGGGCACTGGTGCAGTGTTCAATGAGGTACGATTTCACACCCTCCCCAATAACTCTGTCACTGTTCCATCTCTGAGCGCTGATCTCCGCTTTTTGCATGGCAGGAATCCACAGCAAGGTGTTTATATCAAATTCCAAGAAGTCTTTACCATCAAAGCCATACCGATAGTGTCCAGTGCTGCTGTCATCATCATATAGCACACAACCATAGCTGAGCTGGAGAGCGTGGAACCCTGTACACAATGTAATACAAAGTTACAAGGTTATGCAAGTGTAAGACATTAACATTTGAGCAATAAACCAACTCCAGTTAAAGGGGCAACACAGCATAAAACATCCCAAAACTGTACAGACAATACTATACACCTGGGGTAAGAGTTATATTACTTACGTGATTGTATTACGAGCTGTTTTGTAACCAAAAACCAAAACTGAACAGAAAGGATGTGGTGGGAAATGCCTACAACTGGGACAAAAGCAGCAATATATATCTGACAGGGGTCCTAACTCTTCCATTAATGAAGACACCCTATCATTAACAGTAACAAGTGCATCTCTACTCTGTATTGCTGAGCCAGTCACAGAGAGATCTTTGTGATCTCACCACTGGCTCAGTGACTAAAAACACGGTGCCCGCTGTTGCAGTTTCAGTGTTTTGCATACCCTGTGTGCACGCCTATGACTAACCAGCTTTCAGGGCCCAGTCACACCATCAAGAGTGTGTTCCAGTGCGTTCAGCCTCTGGAACGCACCCGGTCAGCTCACTTTTTAGGAGGGCAGGAGGAACACAATGGCACCGCAGCTATGCCCCCCGCCTGCAGTACGATCTTCGACACCCGAACGCGTGGCACATTAGTGCCTGCGTTCCGGTTCAGTGCGATCTGCAAAAAATGCTGCAAACACAATTTTTTTTCAGATCGCACTGGACCGGAACGCAGAAACTACTGTGCCACACATTCGGGTGCCGGCGATTGCACCGCGGGCAGGGGGCGCGGCTGTGGTGTCATTGAGTTCAATGCACCGTCACGCCCCCTCCCGCCCCAAAACAGAGTGAGCCGGCCGGTTTGCGTTCCAGAGGCCGAACGCACTGGAACGCACTCCTGATGGTGTGACAAGGCTCTCACTCTGCCAAGATCTTCATTGTGTGGTAAGCCCACTACCACATAGCCCTAGCTTTCATTAAAATAATCCCTGGTGCTGCTGCCATAAAGAGCATTTTTCAGGTACTCTTATAGGAAGAAAACTCTCTGTTCCTGTCTCCCAGTTGTTCTCCTGCAGTGTCACCCTGTCACCGGTTTGAACATACATTATGCAGCCACAATCCATTGGGGTCACTATCAGGAAGCCTGAGAGATGCCATGCAGCAATTGTTGGAGTGCATGTAGACAAAAAGTGACTGCTAGTGGTGCTGAAGCAGAGCAGCAGCACTGAGATGGAATGAAGAATAAAAAAAGGTGAAAAATAACTTGTTTAAGGAGCTTCTTTTATGAATATATAATACAAAAATACTAAAAACAGCAGGAAAGTTCCATTACTTACTTTTCGTGTAGTTGAACCGACTGGCCAGGATGATTAAGTTGTCTCTGAAGACTTTCGCCCATCCTTTTCGCAGAGACGTCTGCCACTCCCAGTAATCATTGCCCTCATTCTCCTCCATCCACACCGTCTTTGGAATGTTGACATGACTTTCACTGCTGTACATATCGATCTCCTGATCATCCACGTATCCGACAGTCTCGAAGCGGTACTGCCCTTCCTCAGGGTAGTACAAGCCAGTGTGGTAGTAACTGAGCATATGATCATCTAAAGAACATACAGAATATTGTCATTGTTTTATATCTGTGTTGAATACGAGCAATCTATATTTGTTTTGCCGCTCCTGGGATAACATTTATAAGCCAGGACTCGTTTCCTAGAGCATCAAGAACCTCAGTGACAACAAGTATTTTATATGCACATTGGACTCATCTAACCATTTCCAAAAAACGCAGTTCAGACTAAGAGACCCCCCATCCCCCCAATAATGATTTTTACAATTTCTATACAGGAACTTTTGAAGCTTATGTTAAAAATGCTAAAATACATATGATAGGACTACATTGACCTTATTCAAAAAAGAGTTCTAATTCTTAAGTGCCAATTCTCAGGCAAACTCCAGAATAAAAAAAAATACCCCTGAAAAAGAAGGTTCTTAATGCTTACCTCTCTGATATGGGATGAGTCCTAACATCACTCTTGTGCAGTGTCATGGCCTCTGGCAGAATCTTCAGCATCTTCAGGCTGCTGGTCCCTACTAGTGATGGGCCGAATAGGCCCGAGTTTGGTTCAAATTCGAACTTTAGAACATCCAAAAAGTTTGAACTCAATGCAAGTCAATGGGAGTAGAACTTTCAAAAACAATTGTCCCCTTTAAGAGGGCTTATATGCAAGTTATTGGCCATAAAAGGTGTATGGGGATCCAGATACTGCTCCGGGGGACATGAATCAATGAAAAAACAACTTTTCATACATACTGTTTTTAAAGGAGCAGTGGTTTTAACAACACTTAAAGGGTAACAATAAAAATTAAAAATTCCTTTAAATATCATGCCTGGGGTGTCCCATTATCTTGCCTGTAAAGTGGCGCATCTGTACAATGTATAGAGCCTGCTGCAGCAAAACTCCCAAGCTCGCGACAAACACACGCCGCATAATGGCATTTTGACAGATGCCAGTAACATCTAAACATTTGGGTGGAGCTAGAAGTGACAGCTAGCTCGGCCCAACTATTTACAGTTGTAACAGGGTGAGCAGTGATTGGGCACAGCCATCATGACTTTGCCCAATCATGGCTCACTGTTCGCTGTGCCCTGATTGGGCAAAGTCTTGCACCTGACCTGTGGTCAGGTGCAAGCCTTTAGCCAATTAGGGCTTCACAAGGCGCATTGCCTTGTGGGGGCGTTCAGCGGTCAAACAGACTGCCGAACGCCCTTACAGTTCGTGTGTTCGGCAAACACACGTTGAGCTGGACGTTTGACTCGAACATCCAGCCCAACCCTACAATGGTACAGCACACAGTAGTGACATATGGGCCATTGGAAGGAACCACAGTACACAGCGGGAGACCGAGCATATGACACATCCAAAAGTGAAGATTCTTCTGCTGTGGTCACTCTAACTGAATAAAAACCAGCAGTGCTGGACTTTTACTGGACTTGTTCTGTAATTTTGCAGTTGGTTTATCGAGTCACTGTCATTAATTCAGCAGGTAATAGAAATGCATCGCGACATATAATGCTGTTCTTTACTCTGGCAATAAGACAACAATTTACACCTTCAGCTATGTCTGTCAAACAATTAACGCCTGACCCAGATCTCATGAGGCCACAGTGATACGTTTGTAGGATTTTGGAACAGGATGGCTCTTTTCAACTTTCACTTCTCCCATTATGTTCTTGGACAATCAACATCTGCCTTGACACGTGTCATTACACAATGGTGATTGGATTCTTGTGTCTGAGTAGCACAGGGGGGTATAAATCGTGGGATATGTTCCTAACACCTAGCTCAACTGAGGAAGCCAAATAGATGAATAATAAAATATCTTTAAAATTAAAGAACAAGTACAGTTTGGTGGCCTTTATATATTTTTATTGACTAATGTTGGCCTACAAGGAGGTCTCCTTTGACAACAAGCATAAGTCGAGCATTGCTAGCAAAAAAAAAGGTATAAAGGTTGATAAAGAAAGGAGAAAACAATTATCTTAAAGAAAACAATAATACAATAGACTGGCTCCTTCCAATTGATCATTGTAATCATTGGGGTGACAATAGTGAGAACTTTCATTATAAATACTGATCAAAGGGGCTTGGTGCTTCCCACATAAATGGCTCTCCCCCAATCCAACAAACACCAGGGTAGCTTCTGCCTGATATGCTAAGATTCCGAAGGTGCTTTCAATACCAGAATATCTGCACAATTTATGTTATGTTTATGATATAAAAATAAAATTCATTTAAAACAATTCTAGTTTCCTTTTAAGATACACAACACAATGAATTCTTATGCAGTCGGTCATCTGAAGCAACGGACAAACAAAACAAATAGAACACCTGTGCTGTGACGTAACAGGAAGGATTAAAGCGGATCTTCACCCATATCTTTAAAATAGCAACAAACCACACCTTCAGAAATGTTTAGTAATGACAATCTACAATCACATACTTCTAGATAATTGCCGGCTTTATATTCATTGCACACCTTATTTCTCTTTTCTTCCCCAGTCTTCTCACAGTGGCCATGTTTACTAAGGGAAGATTTCTAGATCTCCATTCTCTTCCTGGAACTCTGGCAAATGTGATTTGGACATGTGACCATGCATATCATCTCAGGGGAGGAAATGCCTTTCCCTGAGATCTCATGAGATTACAGGTGAGATTTCCCAGCAATGCTCTGCTGATGTAACCTTCCCAGGATGCAACACTTTGGCACATTACATCATTTGTGCCAGAACTGGACCAGGGAGTGAACTCTATTTGTAAGTAAATGAAAAACAAATCTGTTTAACTAATGAATGTAAGATGATTTTAAATCAACATGTAGAGCTGCATGCTGGTGTGATTTTTAGTAAAAAGAGGGTAAAGGTCCGCTTTAACGATAGAGTACAAATGTAAGCACATTTCTTGTCTCACAAGTAGTGAGTATCAACATACCACAAACACAGATCGGTAGGAATAGGGAGAGGCACAGGAACACAATGCTTATTTTGTCCCAGGGTGATGTGGTCTTCAGGGATTTCAATTCTTTGCACTTGTTCTCTGCCTTCTGATTTTTTCTGAAAAGCTCTAGAATGTGAAGTGCTGGATACCATTAATACAGTGTTATATAGTACACAGTGCCGGATTTCACACAAGGCCAACCAAGGCCCGGCCTCGGGGCAGCAGGGGTGTGGAGTTCCTATCTCCCAATGTCCGGGACATGCAGTTTCAGGCGCCAGACAGGTAGTTGTTTTCTACATTTAGCCCTGCTTTGGGCAAGCAGAGCTAAATGTACAGCGGGGGAAGCTGCTTCTTGTTTTGTACAAGTGATCTTGGTGATGTCGTTGAGATCACTTATGTGCAGCCTGCAGGTCTGCCATTCTCTATTGAGGGCAGGAGGGGTTTGCTGGTAGGGGGCGCATTGAGGAACCTGGCCTTAGGGCAGCAGAGAGAGTAAATCCGGCCCTGATAGTACATCTTGAGAATAGACATTACAATAGACATCTTATTATTTCTTTTGATACCTTTTAAGGGAAACCTGTACTTACATACATACATAGGTTGGAAATGCTGATGTCCCTTTCTGAAAATGCCTTGATGTCATTGACAAGATATCTTTCATACTGTCAGTCACTGACTTAGAACAAGTATGCAGATCAAAGAGTTCTGTGGAGCAATTCATCCTCAATGTTCACATCAGAAGTAATAAAATTGTCCAAGTCACCCAAGTTGTTCTGTCAGCAGCTCCGCGCCCCCCTCTCCCAGCAGGGATTCAGCAGCCTTCCAGCCTTCTAACCTCTAATATAAACACAGGCCATGGTATTTGGAAGGAGGGAGCAAGGTGAACTACTGTAAGCTTCTTATTCATTGCTGGGAGAGGGAGCAAGGGAAGCTGACTACTCAATCACTGCTGGGATAGGGAACAGTCAGTGCTCAGAGGGTAGGAAGGGGAAACTAAACTGCTGAGAAAACAATTTAAAGAAGAAGACTCACCTTGTATGTTTTCATAGCTCAGTCACTTAAAACTCCAACATTGCATGCTGCTTGTTACCCCATGCTTCTGTGTGCTGTAGAAGCTGAGATACAGACTTTGACAGCTCACTCCTCTCAATTTATGCAAAGGAGACAATCTCTTGATTGACATCTCTTATCTCACTGTCCCTGTGCTTTCCTAACACAAATGAGGTCACTGGAATGCAGGGGGAAGTTGCACTCTCCCTGGAATCTGCACAGGCACTAGGACTTGAAGGGGGGCCTTGTTTGATGTCTGGAAAGTTCAGGGACAGTGAGATACGAGCTTTCAATCAAGAGGTCATGTCTTTTGCAGATCGTAGTTGAGAAAGAAGAGGAGAGAGCTGTCAAAGTCTGTATCTCAGTTTCTACAGTACACAGAAGCATTGAGGGAAAGCAACATACATTGTGGGAGATAGGGAACAGAACTGTGAAAAATAATATAAGGGGAGACATTTTTAAAGAAATCCAGTGCTTCTGCGGTAAATTTTGATGAGGTGCTCCACAGTGTCTGCAGCTACAGAGGTCAGTAGCTGGTTTTAAAGCTTCTTTACTGCTGGCAAGAATATGTAAGTACTTGAATGCCCCTAGCCTGTCCACAAGTTCACTTTAAGGTTTCAACAAACCTCTAGTGCTTTATAAATATCAGCTTTGTCCATTGCTTATGTCTCTCATGGTTAGCAGGATTTGCTGTAGTAGGTAGCCCTGATAGTCATAACATCATAGGTAATGACAGCAATACCTGTCAACAAGTACATATGAAATTAGACTCTGCACAAGAGTAATGTTTCCCTAAATTAACTATAGATTTAGTCCATAGTTATTTACAATAATTGCAAATTTAAGGCTTCTGTTTATGTTTTTTTTAATTAAATCCCAGAACATGCTAGCGTGATAAAAAGTCTTATCACTGCAAAATACAAATTCCCTCTAATGTGGTTTATATTATTTTACAGTATATTTCCCTTTAAGATCCAATAGTCTTTGTGCTCAGCTGCATGCAAGCATTGATCAACAAAAGCAAGGCCCCTGGCATAAATGTACTGGAATCTGGTAGGACCAAAAAATGTGTTTGCAATCCCAACAAAGCCGGAAAGGTCCACAAAATGTTTCACTGATGACGACCAGTCAATTTCTGTGCAGAAAAAAAATTGGACTCCTTTTGTATAATGCAACATTTCCTCTGACTTCTTTAGAGAATTATAATTTACACAAGCCAGAGTTGTGCTAGACTTCAATGTCATAAGAATATGATACACAATAAAGAAAGTGTAACTATTTAATTAACACTGCTGAATTTTCTCTGGTCGTTAGCTGGATAGTATTGGTCAAATACATTTGAATGAAACATGGTTTGGGTACGGCGATATGATTGCTATGAAAGCAATTAGGAGTATGTATTATTAGAGTAACTGCTTTTGAGATGAATTATTCTAATTAAAAGGCTACCCTAACCAGTCTTGGTCTAAATATTATGGGGGA